AGCCAATAAAAAGTCTTGAATTGCATTATCCAATGATCTAGTTTTTAATAATAGCTTTTAGCCCTCTTAACAATGTTTATATAAATGTCCATGTAAACTGTTTAAAAAAACCAGCCCATAGACTCTACGTTATTGCTCATCCTATCAGTGTATAGGACGTGTCTCAGTTATGAAACTTCCTCAACGTAAAGTCTCTGTGACTGGCAGTCCGGAACGTTTGAGAGCAGAATCAGAGGATCTGAAAATAGACTCCTTATTCGGAACTGTTTTCTTTCTTCCACGCTTCTTTCGGCTTCAACAAAGAAACCTATCGCGAACCTATTTATTTTGCTTTTGATTAGGAAAATGAAAGATACATAATGACGACTAGACGCCTGCGTGTGGATGTAGCCTTAAACAAACAAACAAAAATCTCATATTTTTATCCTTAAAATAATTAGTTTTAATCTTTTGCTTACCGCCTGATGTAACAACAGGTATTTGATCCGTCATGGGCGATATGAAAACAGAGAAAACGATAGGAATAGGCCGAAATCAAACGTTATAACATACTGTTCATTTCAACTAGTACTTAGTTACAATAGGCAATACTAACACGCTTCCATTAATCGTCATTTGGGACTGAAATCTGATGGCCATGTTTCTTCCTTTTTCATCAACTGTTTTCGAAATATGTCTTTTATTTTTCTCTTACAACGACTGGTATTAAAAAGTCAAATTGGCATCCTAATCCTCTCATCCCGGCTCTGTTATGCTAATCATACACGTTTGCGGTAGATAGGGATATTAAGGAAAGTGTAGCAGAAACAAATGTCAACAGGTAAATTATTAACTTCAGTAGTCTAATCAAAAATCACTCACAGGCTGGTTTATTTCCCAAAGGCGGCCCATGAATAAAGAAACACAAAATTACAATAAAGTTATGGAAAGTGCACGAAAAAAAAGATCACTAAATCGATAAATGAATTATGCGACGATTAATTTGAAGCTTCAAAATCCCCTTGGGCATTTGAACCTTTGAAGATCGATTTGTTCACATTCCCGCCCCCAGGACCAAAATTGTGTTCAAATGTCCCACCCAAGTACTGGATTTGACTGTCAATTTTATTCCCAAGTGTTAGAACCTAGATCTGAACCTATTACCTTTAATCAACTGCACATTAAAAGGTAAAACACGTGTATTCCGGTGGAAAGACATGAAACTTCCGGTGTAAATTCCCCACCCCAACCAGACAGGGCTAAAATTCCCCAACACTAGGACACGGAATTGATCGATGCATTAATCCAAAAATGAATAAAACAAGAAGCGAGTCATTTAGTCCTGAAATACTTTAAAGCATAAAATTATATACGGTTTATTTTGTGCAAGAACACCAAGTATCCAAGACGTTCCTCGTAAACAAACCTCGTTGAATTCATCACTCGATGATTATCCAGATAGAGCTCATCAACATATGAGCACGAGACAATGATACCCAAGGTGGCAGCGTTTTGATATCTCTTTTGCAGAGAATAAAGACGAAAAAATACACGCTGAAGTTGAGTATTGAGTACTACTCAACTTCATACACGTATGAAGTTGAGTAGGTGCTACAACACACAGCTAGTCAAAATCTCTTTTCCTAATTTCATCTATCATTCGCTATTCAAAACAAAGGAAAAGCGAAATTAAACGAGTCCTGAAGGGAGGGTAGGCAAAATAATTCATGGAAGTATGGGATTCACTGTATATTCTTGAAACATGACTTATTTTCCGAGCCGAAACACACTAAGATCTTGATTTCTGAATGAAGTGTAGCACCTCTTGATCTTTTCCTTTTCCTCCATTGGTGTTCAGCGGCTTTTTGGTCATGTAACATGCTAGTGGTAACATCTAACTTAAGAAACTTAAGTAACACTTACTTCCTGATATTTCGGAGACGTAGCCCATACAAAAAAAAAACAAAACAAAACAAAAGAAAAAAAAAAAGAAAAAAAAAACAGGAAAAACGAAAGCAAAGGGAAATTCACCGGCAATTACACTGTCGTGCATCCCCATGTTGAAAAAAAAACAAAGCACAGACAGTTAAGGAAAGTGTTGAGTTATTTCCTATACAATGTCAGAAAATTAAGTAAATGTATTTAAATGCTTTCCATTTTGAGAAGAGCAAACCCAGTTGGTTTTCCCTTGTTTTTTTCCAACATTCATTAAACGTTGTCAAGAGAGTTTAAATTCTCTTGTCGTTGTACTTGTAGTTTTTATACTCCCCTGCGTTTAGTAATAAATCCCAAGCAATGGGAAAGACGCCAAACTTTACTCGTTTTCAGAACTTAATTTGAACGCTAAATGACATAAGAAAAACATTACGAATTGTCTCTGGTAAATGTTTGGTATGCTAGAGACGGTCCACAATTTGTTTTGAAAGAAAAAAAAAGGGTTCGAAAACAGATTCCACGCCCATACACATAAATGCCCTAAGCAGGTAACTTTTAGGCTTTCCTTTGACAAAGTGTGATTATCATTGTACTGAAATAGTTAAAGAAAAGTATAAATGGCATAAGATAAAGAAATGCTTAAATAAGCGAACACATAAAGCAGATAAATGTATAAAAGACAAAAAAAGACACTTACGCCGAGCTATTATTTCCACGTAAATGATTCGAGTATAAAACAGCGAGAAAACAATCTCAAAATCAAGACATATTTAATAACTAGGACTTGCTTTACTACTTTGCAATTTAAAACAAGCAAACAAAAACAATTACATCAACTCAAATGATAGCTGAAGGAAAATATCCTACGTAGTCAGTAGATATAACGATAGGAGCAGCCTTCGTTTTCCCTATTTGGTCCATATTTTACGTGAGAAACCGTCTCCTGGTTAGCTCAATTGGTACAGCACCGGACTGTTGTGCGGGAGGTGGAGGGTTTAAGCCCCGGCAGGACCAACACTCAGGGTCTTAGAATAACAGAGGAGAATGTGCTACCTTTCTATAATATCAAGAAATGGATAGACATTCTAGTCTTCTCGGATAAGGACGAATAAACCGTAGGTCCCGTCTCCTGCAGGGTTAGGGGTAAGAGACGTTAATTTCCCACGCACGAGATTACTGTGTGGTGGATGTCCTCCCCTGGGATGGGATGGGTGGGTATATCTGCCGAGATGGGTTGTATTGCCCTTTGCAGATTAAATATAAATAGATAGACACATTAAATAACTAATTATTCAAAAATAAGAAAGATAGGAAGAGAGAGAGAAGAGAAAGTAGGGGGAGAGGGAGAGAGAGAGGGAGAAAGAAAGAAAGAGTGGAGAAGAAAAAGAAGGGAAGATAGCTTCCAGTATTTGTTTGTATTCCGACATTTTTATTACAGTCCGACTTGAATAACAGTGAGCCATCAGGCCTGAGGAAAGGGAGGCTATAGTATCAGACAACAATGATCATAGTAATAAAAAAACTTACGGCACTGTTGTTCATCTGAGGTATCACCACAGTCATCTCCGTACCGACAACGGTACCATTTACTGAGACAAATTCCATTTGCACAGGTAAACTGATAGTTCTCACACTTTCCTGTACAATAATGCAAATAACTTCGATTCAAAGACAAGAATATCGAGCCTGTGCATCGAACAAAAAGGAGAAAAGAAACATAACTGGAAACAATCCAAAATAAATTAAGCCACGAGCTCATTACTTGGAGCGTTCAACTCCCATACTGAACCTATGTCACGGCATTTTCACAGGAAGGTTTATTTTTAGACTATCTTTTCCGGTGAAATAGTTCTAAATTAACCACACGGTAATCGTGATTGGTCGAAGGGCTTCCGTGGGTAATCCCATTTCGCGGTAATTCAAACTAAAAATAGACCTATCCGTTGAAAACACCGTGACATAAACAAAGGGCAGTCGAACACTCCAAGTGATGGCTCCTGATTAAACATACTCTTTAGTTGTCAAGTCAAAACTTGGTGCTTCGATCATGATGCAACTTTCAGTTTAATCTCTCCCCCCATTATTCTACGAACTAGTAATTGTCGTGAGAAGCAATGAATCTAAAGCTTCCCAGAAAGTTTACCCGATTAAAAGATTGATTAAGTTTCCCAGTAAGGACGCCTGAAGTTAACATTTAAACTAAATATGGTTGGTTTTATTTCACTTCATTCCATTCTATACAATAGCTCATTATCCTCCGCTCTTTTATTCATATTTTATTCTATTTTATTGATGTACTCTTTTTTCTCTGCTCTGACATTTTGAAATTTTCAATGTTAATGCAACAATGATAATGACAATGCTAATGACAACTGGAAGACTTAATAATTTATTCTCCCACATTATTAATAAATTTTTTTAATTAATAATTTAATTGTCAGCCATCGCCAACAATTCCGGTCACAACGAACCTGCGCGGCGTCAGCGATGCTTCCTGTGAATCCAACATGGCGGCCGTGCGTTGGAAGAGAAGTGTTTGACGAAATGACCAGAGCAAAAAGGGTTTACGTGATGGTTTTGAATAGGAAAAGGCAAGGTATGTAAAAACAAATTGCGTGCATTTTGGAATGAGAGAGAATAAGGAAGAGTCAATATGTACTTATTGTTCTAGTGAGAGGGCCAGGCGGGAAACTATTTGGCTTGAGGTTATGACGTAGGTATCGAGCGCAGCGCGGTCTGTGGCTCAAGTTCGAGAGCCAAGTATTCTCCCATCCGGCTCGATCAAACTCAGTCAATAGCCATTTTATCATATCACCACTAAGTGTTGAAAATTCTCAGCTAAATAGGACGCGATAGACGGGCACACACAGCCACACGAGCACACACACAAAAGAAAAATTCTGCACTTAAAACCTTAAAACCTAAAAAGTTTTCGAGTAAAAACATGAAAAACCAAATTCATGGAAAAACGCGACTTTTTATCATTTCTGTTTTCCTTTAAGTTCTTGCCACAAAGTGACACAAGGGAAACAGGGCCAGACGGCTTTTTATGGCCTGCACTAGTCAACTTAGACTATTGTTTCCTATGGAATTATGTGGGCAAGGCCGGACGGGTCGCATGATCTCTTTCGGATGTACAACTCCATAGCCAAATATTCTTTGTTTACTAATCAGCGAGGCAGTAGTAGCTAAGAATAAATAAAAGATAAAATAAAAGATAAATAAATAATAATAAATAATAAATAAAAGATAACATACTTGCAGATGTGCAGGGAACCGCTACCAGTATGAGCAGAAGAACAGCCGGAAGATCCATGACAATCTATGAAGAAACGAAAAATAAAAATAATTAAAACGGATTGCTATCACTTAAATGGTAATTTATTGACTTATTGTTATCATTTTTGTTGTTTTTTTGTTTTGTTTATTTGTTTGTTTGTTTGTTTGTTTTTTCGCGGGGGGGAGTGGGGGCAAGAAACTCTGTAATCTGCAGACTGTCTTGCGGACAAGTTAAGCATTCCCGCCGATGAAAACGGGAGAAACGCTGGAACGTGCGAATATAACTCAATCACAGTCGACCACTTAGATCTAAAG